TGGGGCTTTCGCCTATTGGATGTATGAGTTATCTTATTGCTGCATAACAAACTACCCCACAATGTAGCATCTCAAAACAATAATAAATATTTACTCTCTCACATAGTTTCTGTGGTTGGAGAATCAGGAACAGCTTAACTATGTGGCTGTGGTTTGGCATCTGTCATGAGATTGCAATCAAGATGTTGGCTAGGGCTGCAGTCTCTTCTGAAGGCTTGACTGGAGCTGGAGGATCCTCTTCCAAGGTGGCACAATCATATGGCTGGCAAGCTGGTGCTGGCTGTTGGCAGAGGCCTGCTTTTCACCTTCTTAGGACCTTTCCTTAGGGCTGCTTGAGGGTCCTCACAACACGGTGGCTTCCCCCTCCTAGAGTGATTGATTCAAGAGAGTGTAAGACTTTTATGCCCTAGCCCCAGAAGTCACACACCACTACTTCACAGTATCCTATTATTACAAGGGAGTCAGTCACTCAATCTGGCCCACATTCAAGGGGAGAGAAATCAGGTTCCATCCTTAAAGGAAGGTATGTCAAAGAATTTGTAGACGTATTTTAAAACCACCATATTGGACCTCCAAGACCCCTTCATCAGGACTCAGCACACAGTAGGAGCTCAGTAAATGCTGTTGTCTTAACCACACAGGCTTTAAGACCATCCAAGGGAAAAGAGCTCACCTGTCTGCCTTCCCATCTAGGTCCATATTTTAGGTAACATTTATTTCCGTCTAGGTCCATATTTTAATAATCCTCCTCAATGTGGCAGCTATGTCCATCTCATTCCATGGCATTCTGCTGGCCCTGAGGATGCACTAGGTCTTGGGTAGGGGTGAGGGATCCCCCACCTCCAGTGTGCGGCCAGTCCCTAGGGAGTGCTCGCTTCTTTCCTCTCCTCCAGCTGCACATTGCCGGAGCCAATGGATACCTGCGGGCAGCTGAGCTCCTCCTGGACCACGGAGTGCGTGTGGATATGAAGGACTGGGATGGCTGGGAGCCTCTGCATGCGGCTGCCTTCTGGGGACAGGTAGTTCCCACCCACAGGGCTGTGGAGGGTGGGAGGGAGGCCAGCCCAGGGTTAACCTGCTCTCACCAAGTCCTTTGGGCTGGCTGAGGGTCAAAAGAACACAAGACCTGCTTAAGACATTGACTACAGCTAGTATGTGGGATGTGAAAAGACCTAGAGAGTTTGCAAAAACATTTGGCAAATTGTGTCTTAAGAGGATGATAATCAAATTGGCCAGATTAAAAAATTCCCAGCATTTCTGCTTTGAGTAGTTTCTCCATTTGTTTTCAGATATAAAATTGTGATTGCAGCTTAACACAATCCCTCCTTAAGACACCTGACAGCTCTAGAGTTACAGCCGACTCCTTCTTCTCTTCCCCTCGGCATGGCTCAAGCATGCTGGAGGAAGTGCCAAGCCCATTGTATCTGCCAGGATTCCCCACATGGCTACAGGATGCATGGCCTTCCCCAGGAATCAACTTTGCCCCACCATTCTCTGGGTCATATCGTAAGAGGCCTCGGACACTCTCCACCTCCTAGGCTTTCTGAGCCCTGGACAGAGGGAACATGGGCTTCTTCCTGTGTTTCAGATGCAGATGGCAGAGCTCTTGGTGTCCCATGGGGCTAGTCTCAGTGCTAGGACATCCATGGATGAGATGCCAATAGGTAAGTCCAGCATAATACCTGGTACACGCATAGGCAGTCACCATTTTTTTTGATGGGTAGAGTGATAAAAGGATGAATATATGGTTGGATAGCTTGCTTGATTGACATGTAGATAGATAGGTGTGTAAATGAATAAATTAATGCATGGTAGATTAATGGACAGATCAACAGATGGATGGATGGGTGTGATAAAAGGATGAATATATGGTTGGATAGCTTGCTTGATTGACATGTAGATAGATAGGTGGGTAAATGAATAAATTAATGCATGGTAGATTAATGGACAGATCAACAGATGGATGGATGGGTGGGGTATATGTGCAGATGTGATAATGTGTGGATGGGTGGACGGATGGATGAATAAGTGGATAGGTTGATAGAGGATGAATCTATGGATAGATGACTGGGACAGCAAATAGGCAGATAGATGAATAAAGGAGGATCGAGTGGGTGGGGGTATATGGATTTCTTAGCATATTCGCATAATTTCTTGCTTGCTCTACGTGGCATACCTGCTTGTTTCTCTTGATACTTCTCATATCAGTGGAGACTTTGTGACTTTTCTTGGAAATTACCAAAGAGGAGTGTGAATGCCATCATGGCTGGGGACCTTAGGAGCTGTGAATGCATGGAACTTGGGTTTCCCATTCTTATACTGCTCTAGGAATTGGGTTGCAGCCCAGAAAATGAGGATGGCATTGTTTTCTTCCCTCCCTGCATGCCCCCCAAAATACTTGGACTTTTCAGTGGGTTGGGGTGGCAGCTCCTCTGGTCTGGAGCAGCCTCTTTGGCCACAGGCCCCTGTCCTCCTCCCACAACTGAGTCCTGTGCCCCTTCAGACCTGTGTGAGGAGGAGGAGTTCAAAGTCCTGTTGCTGGAGCTAAAACATAAGCACGACGTTATCATGAAGTCACAGCTGAGGCACAAGTCATCCTTGAGCCGGAGGACATCCAGTGCGGGCAGCCGTGGGTGAGTCCAGGGCAGCGCCACCAGGGGTCCCCATACCTCTCCTGTCTGGCTCCTGGGCGTGGCCTCCCAGCACCCCATCTATCCCCTCAGGAAGGTGGTGCGTCGAGCCAGCCTGTCGGACAGGACCAACCTGTACAGGAAGGAATACGAGGGAGAGGCCATCCTGTGGCAGCAGCGGAGCACAGCCGAGGACCAGCGGACCTCCACCTACAACGGGGACATCAGGGAGACCAGGACTGACCAAGAGAATAAGGACCCGGTGAGTGCCCTCACACCCCGTCCCAGTGCCAGTCACTGCCTTGGGAGGAGGACAGGGAAGTAGCTGGGCAGTGCCCTTAAACCAGCTGGATCCAGTCTGACGGTGGTGGCTACTGGAGTTAGTGAGGGCATGTTAGATTCAGAGCCGGGGGCTTTGGCACACAGGAGGGTCTCATCATCAACAGGGAGAGAGTGACTGCCATGTGACTGCTTATGCTCCATTTCCCAGAAGAGCGGGTCAGTAGAGCAGTCACCCCAGGAGCTAAGGGCATTAAGACTTTTTTTTTTTTTCCAGGAAATATAACAAGATGTTGAAAATTGTGTTGATCAGAACACATTTTTTTTTTCCTTTTTGTCTTTTTTCGTGACCGGCAACGGATCGCAACCCTCAG